CCCTGATTTTTTTCTATCATTTGCAGTCTCTCCTTTTAGGAAATGGCAGACCCCTGTGGGCAATGAAAGTCCAGATCTAGACATGTAGTCTGGAAACCTTAGTTCCATTTGCAGTTGCCGGGAGTTGTTGCTTGAAAGTTGAATTAATGTTCTTAATCATCTGGCAATCATTCCTTATTCACATGTCACACCTGGAACAAAATTGAACAGATTTCTCCACCATCAGTGCTCTCCAGTCATATCTTGGATCAGTTGTGTAGATATGAGAAAATAGTGGTTTCCATTTCTGATCATTTCTTGCACTCCTCACTGTCGCAGACATCTTTCATGAAAAATCCTTTCTTAGGATTTTTCCTTGTGAGAAGCTGCAGTTTTCAGCAACCAAAGTAAACAATGGTTATCTGCTGCTGTGGAATGCAACAGGTGATTGGTCTCCTGTGGGTGTTTGGATTTCTTGACCACTCATGGCAGAGCTGGCTCTTGCTCTGTCTGAGACACAGATCTTTGTTATTCATTCCTTTTCTATTCTTAGCTTAGCTAGCTGCTGAAGAAACTTTTCCTTTCTATTGCTTTTTAGTATAGTCTAATGTAACATATATCATAAAAGAATAAATCAAGCCTTCTGATCATGGAGTCAACATTCTTGTCTCTTCTTCACCCTGAAAACCCTTGTGACCACAGTCACAATTGGTGACCCCTGACTGAGGAGGACAATCATCACTTGGTGAGACCACCAGAGGAGCATTGCTGCACTGGGTAAACCCTGAATGTGTGGCATTGATGGTTGCTTCACAAGTGACCACAGAAGTGGATTCTAGCCAGGAGCTGAAGAACTGAAGATCCGAATTTGGACAGAGTTCTCAGCAAGGCTGACCACAAAGAGAACCTTCTGAAAAGCCTCCAGGAAGATGTTCAGAAAGCTCAGCAGCACCGTGCAGATAGCCAGAGAGTCCTGGACACTGTCACAAGGTACTGTTGGTTTTTGCCCTCCTGAAGATGAGGCCATTCGCAGTTTGTGGCTGCTCATCTGGAGGACTTCTCCCCTAGAGGATGAGGTTCCATTCTCCCCTTCAGAGGAGAAACTTATTGCCCTCTGGCAAAAATGGGGTGAAGAGGACAGAGTTCTCCTGTCGGAGACAGATTTGTATGAGTTTTTTCGATGGGCGAAGCTCTTTGGTTTTTTTACGAATGTGCTATACGCCCTTGACGTGTTTGTCTGGGAGTGTATGGGCTCCATTTTCCATTTCTTTTTATACCGGGGGTTCGGATGCCCCTCGATTTATCCAACCTTTTTGTTGCTCTTTCTAGTCTTGAAACGGAGAGCAGCTGTTTTTCCCTGGATTGCTAACTGCAAGGGCAAAGCCCCGTTCCCCCCGATTCCGGGGGAGGACCCTTTGGAGGGGGACGCTCTGCTGCTTTCCAGCCCCCCTGAACCGCAGTGGGGGGGGGAAGTTTCGCCCGCAACCAAAGTTTTTTTTACTGCGCCTTCGGAGCATGCTCAGACGGAGCCGGTTTCTCCCCCCTCCCGTTGCTCTCAGGGGGGATGGGAGTGGGCGGTGCCGCCCCGGCCAGCGCCACGAGCACCGCCCCGGCCAGCGCCGTGAGCACCGCCCCGGCCAGCGCCACGAGCACCGCCCCGGCCAGTGCCGCCAGCGCCGCCCCAACCCGCCCCGCGGGTGCGGGCGGTTCCCCGCGCGGCCCGTCCCGCGGCCGCCCCTGCCGTGGAGCCTGTGTGCACTCCGGCCGCGGTTCCGCCGGCTTTCCTGCCTGCATCTGAGGCCTCAGAGACACCGCTTCCCGCGGCAGCGCCGATGTTGCTGGGCAACAGCGATCCACCGCTCCCCCCGGCCGTCCCGCCGCCTTCTGCGACTGTGGTTCCGCGGCCGATGTCAGAGCCCGGCGCAGAAGATGCTGCCGACCCCGTGCCGCCCCCGCCGCCTCCCCAGGCGGCCCCGCTGCCCGCCCCAGCAGTTCTGCCGCCTGTGGGGACTTCGTCCCCGGTGTCTGCGTCAGAGGCTGCCCTGGAGCCGGCGGCGGCAGCTGCAGCGGCGCCTCCTGCATCCAGCGTGACTTCCTCCCCGAGTTTTTCGGGTTGTCCCGGGGCTGCCCCTACAGCGGGAGCTGGGACAGAGGAAGAGGGCGTCAGCCTGTCCTTCCGTGGAGGAGGCATGGCCCGACAGCTGGCTGTGGGCGCAGCGCGGCTGCCTGTTTTCAAGATCAGCATTTTTGGCGGGTTGGGGGGTGTTTGGTCCGGGGTTTCCCCCTGGGGGATGCGAATCTCTCTGCCGCCCCTCGCGCGCCCCAGCGGCGAGGGGGAGGTGGGTCCCGAAAGTTCTGCCCCTGGTCCCCAGCCCAGAGGGGGTGGAGGTGGTGCCGTGAGGCAGATGGGAGGAACACCTGGTGCATTTGCATCGCAGAGGCAGAGGGCACAGCAGGAAGCGAGCATCGCTTGTCTGCTGTGGGGAAAGGACATCCCCAGACCCGAGACGAAGTTTCTCGGGGCAGCTTCTGTCTTCCCATTGCCGGCATGCCTCGGTGATTTTGGGGAAAGGAAGCGTTTGGTCACCCCTTCTGCCATTGTACTGGCAGCAGGGTGCGGGTCTGTGCCAATGCAGAGCCTGCCTCGGGGGCTGGGCCTGGGCTGTCTGGCTTGGTTGCTTGGGCCAGGGCCACCTCCTGGCCTCCTGTTGGGTTTGGGGGCTTTGCTTCCCCCTTCTGGTCCTGGGCCACCTTTCTGTGGGCCAGGTCTGGGGTTCCTGATCCTTCCACATGGGCCAGGGCCCCCAAGGGCCTCTCTCTGGCTCCTCTGCTGCTGCTGCTCTTTCCAACAAAAAAAAAAAAAAAAAAATTAATTGAATAAAAAAGGGTGAAAGAGCTGGCAGCAGCTCAGAGGCATTGAGCAGAGGCATTGAGGAGCCAGGGATTGGCTTCAGCCCAAGTTGTTCAATAAAGGGCTGTGGCAAGACATTTCAGAAATTTTCTCAAAATTCTTTGAAGACCGTCAATGGACTTTTGATAACTATTGATGGACTTTTTCTGTAGCAAGCCTGTTTCAGGACCAAAAGAAACTTTCAGATATGGCAAAGAGGAACATCTTCAAGCCATGGACTTTTCCTGAAACTCAGCTGCTTGGACTTGAATTTTCTTTGCATTGTTTTTGCATTTTCCTATATTATAGAATTGTTTTAGTAATATGATAGACTTTTATGTCCTACAGGTGAAGAAATTCCCAGTTCATTCCACAGGAGCACTTGAGTGGAGTTTGATTGGCAACAGATAACCTGTCAAGTGTTTGTCTTTTTCTTCGGCATGAGTACAGCAGAGAAAATTACAAACACTTTTTCCTTTTAATTTAATTAAATAAAAAAAGGTGACATGTCGCAGACATCTTTCATGAAAAATCCTTTCTTAGGATTTTTCCTTGTGAGAAGCTGCAGTTTTCAGCAACCAAAGTAAACAATGGTTATCTGCTGCTGTGGAATGCAACAGGTGATTGGTCTCCTGTGGGTGTTTGGATTTCTTGACCACTCATGGCAGAGCTGGCTCTTGCTCTGTCTGAGACACAGATCTTTGTTATTCATTCCTTTTCTATTCTTAGCTTAGCTAGCTGCTGAAGAAACTTTTCCTTTCTATTGCTTTTTAGTATAGTCTAATGTAACATATATCATAAAAGAATAAATCAAGCCTTCTGATCATGGAGTCAACATTCTTGTCTCTTCTTCACCCTGAAAACCCTTGTGACCACAGTCACACCTCACCATCCTCTCTCCCTTGCTATTAAAAAAACCAAAAACAAACAAACAACAACAACAACAAACCAACAAAACCCACCAAACAAAAAGAAACAACCCAAACCCAAGAACTATCTTGATTATGGTCAGTAGCATTGTGCAAAGTATCTTTTCAAAAACATCTACATTTTTAATGTAAGGGGATCTTTAATACTGAGACTTGCTCCATTCTTCACTGGTTATGCAGAGATGACTGTGAAACACAGATAAAGAGCTAGACAGGTTGCTGTGTGCAGTTCCACTGTTACCTGTGCTTCCCTGCACATGCTTAACATACTAGTGGTGGCCCCTGAGCTCTAGGAGATATCTAGAATAGATTTTGGATACCTTAGTGCCTTTGCTGGGCCTTGAATTAAAAGGTAGTTTGTATATGAGTGCCTGTCAAAACATTTGCAGGTTGACAGTGAGGTGTTACAGAAGTATTTGGCAGTCACTGTGGAAAAGGCTTTACTAAATGCAATACATTTAAGCATTTCAGACAAATATTTACAGCATCTACAGTATCTAAAACCTTTGACTCCTTTTCCACCTTTTCAGTGGAAAACCAGACAATAAAATTATTTTACTCAGATACAAATTATTAAAAGCATCTGAATAATTTATAAATCTAAGGCAAAAGTGACTTAAGCATTGTCTAGGGAATTAGGAAAAATTCCACAAACTTCAGGGCTTTCTCAAGTGTTTTTAAAATGATAAATAAATCACAAGAGGTAAATCTTTTGTAGTTGTCTTCCTTGTTCTCCTCATGATTCAGTGATTGAAAAAGACTTCTGTTTTCTGGAAAATAGTGACATTCTTCTGTATCTGAGTCTCTGCTGCTCAATTAAACTGAACTGAAAATACATACCGTGGTGGTATGCATTTACCTGCACATATATCATCAAGTTCCCCTTGATGAACCTTGACTTTCTTAAGTTTTCCTCATTTCTCTCCTTGAAACATTGCTCTTTCAGAAGGGCACAGTTCCCCTTGCTCTGCCTTAGACTTTATTTGCTGTAGTTCAATTTACTTGGATGAAAGCCCAGGATGAACACTGGTTTGGCTTTTACGTATCAGCCAGAGAAGTTTGCTTTAAAACAGCTGGCAGACTTCAGGGGAAAGGTAATGACATGCAACGCTGACTTTCAACAGAGGATAAATAACTTACTTTAGAAGACAAAAGCCTGAGAAAATGACAACTTACCTGATTGTACTGTAATCTCTTTTCAGCACTGGCTGACAGAGCTGGAGATCTTCGCTATGATTTTTGCAGCTGCCATACATGATTATGAACACACTGGAACCACCAACAATTTTCACATCCAGACAAGGTGAGGTCACTGTAAATCATGATGAAGGGTCAGGAATAAGAGGGAGAAATCTTTGGAGAATAACAGCACAGCCACCTTAGAAAAGTGCAGGAACTTCTGCTTTCAAGTGTTGCAGAAGGAAATTTAACTTTTTCAGGTTACATTTAATTTTCTCTTGTTCAAACATTCACAATGGAATGAATGTATTCTTAATTCCAGAGCACTGCTTCATATTAATAACCAGGAAAAAGAAAGTTCCAAAAATATTTCCATGTAAAGTTTTCAAAGACATAAGGCTGTATAGAGTGATGTATTTTGATAAAGTTTTGAAGGAGCTACTGTAATTTTACAGTTTTTTCTCCTTGCTGAATTTGAGGATTCAGACAATATTGGCATAAGTCAGGCATTCAGTCATGTTTGTTGCATTCATCAGTGAATATGAACACTACACGTACTATTTTCACTTGAGTGGAAAGCCATACCTGCAGCAAGGGTATATGCTTACCACTACCTAATCGGGGAATTACTTTTTTAAAACATCATAAATTGCTAGAGCATAATTAACTGATCACAACCTAGACGGAGCTATGTATTTTATAAAGCTTTTGGGTTGGTGGAAGAGAGGAAAATAAGATGAAGATGGCAGCAAAATTCAAAAGTGTGCAAGATTATGAAGTCTCTAGTTTTATTTATAATTGGACATCCAATGTCTGTGTATAATTTTGACAATAGGAGTGTACTGGTAGAAATGCCAAAATGTCTAAATGTCCTCGACTGACACTGCATGCTTGGGCATTTTTAAAATGCATTGAAATTAAATTAGATTACATGTTTGTAATTAAAATAGATGTCTGTAGTGTGTTAGCTGAATCATGCTGTGCATCAATAATGGTTTCCGGGATAAAGCACACATATGCACACTAAAGACTGGGAATGTAGAAAGAAGTCTCTGTCTCTATTCTGGGTGAAGCCACACTACTCTTCTTACAACTTTATGCATACAGGAATTAGGGATCTGCTGTACTTTCCAAATACTTGTAAAAATATTCAAGGAAGAACAGTCATAATTTAATTTTTCTAATTGAATATCAGATGGTGTGAAGTGTCAAGGAATAAAAATATACACTGCTCTCTGTGAAGCAGATATGAGTGACAACTATAACAAAACATATCTGAAGGTGTTCTGTTGCTGTTAACTTCTTTGTTTTCAGACCAGTTTACCCATTCATTAATCAATGATCTCTGCTCTGGGGCTTAACATGAGGCATGAAGTACCTCTGGTCCTACTCTGTCCCACTGGCAATTGCCTTTCCAGACAGCATAGTCTAGCACAGATGTCAGAAATCAGTTGAGTTATATCTTGCTTACAGCCAGTTTGCTGTACTGGAAACTGTATTGGGTCACATCTTGCAATTGCTTACTTGGGTACAGTCAGATTTTAATATCATAGAGACATCCATAAGAGCTAGGAAAAAGCTTCACAGTTCTACTCTAAGTTTATATATCTCTCACAGCATTCAGTACTTGTTTTCAAGTATGTAACAAGGCAGTTAGGTGAGTCTCATCTGGTGAAATAGATTTTTCAGTGTTCTTTAGATTTCTTTTACTGAGTAACAGCAATTAACATAGTACTACAAGAATTTTTAAAATGCTCATATCTATTCTATAGACTTAATTGCTGTAGCTGATCAAAGGAAAACTTCTGAGTCTCTTTAGACAGGGAAAAAACAACCTTTCCCATGTTTTCTTTTAAATGCTAGGTCAGACTCAGCCATTCTATATAATGACCGGTCTGTGCTTGAAAATCACCATGTTAGCGCGGCGTATCGTCTTTTGCAAGATGATGAAGAGATGAATATTTTATCTAATCTCTCAAAGGATGATTGGAGGTAAAAATGAGCATGGTGGCTGCCTAGGAATATTGGAGCACCATCATAGACTGGTATTACCTTGTTTGAATAGAAATATGCATTATTGTATATTGCATCTTAGTCTTTCTATACTACAAGATAAAGAACTTTAAAGGTGTTTGTCTTGTTTATTCCTGCTTTCAATTTTCACTTCTGATAGTGAGACTAGACTTATTGACAATGGGTTATAGTATACATGGGTTGACTCCCATATAATTATTAAGTACCACAGAGACACTCTTTGTATACATGTAATTGAGCGTAGACCTAGCCTGCTGCTTCTTTGTCCTAAAGCATAAATATAACCTTTATCTAATTTAACACTTCCTGTCTGGAAATTATAAATGGGACTTAAAGCAAAACATAATCCAGTCCAGGGAGCATAGATCTACTACATATGCTTAGAAGACTTAAGAAGCTGTAATTTAAAATAAGCCTCATGAAATATGTTATTTATGTGCCAAAATGAGCCCATGATTAACTTTCTAATAGTCCATGATTAACTTTCTAATAGTTCAAAGTGAGTTTTCTGTTTTTCATGAATTTCAAGGGGTGATAATTTAAAAATAGCCTAGTGTGCTAGACCAGAAGGATCCAGCCCCATGGTCTTTTTCATGGGAGAGGAAGCAGCTTATGAAATCCTATGTGACACACAGTGCCTTCTACCTATTCTTAAATGTAACATAGTGCTGCATAGTTGTTTAATCTAATTTTAATATAAATGTGGGGAAATAAGCCTGCCTCTGGGGCTGATTTCTACCAAGATGGTCAGTGAAGGCTCTGCTTGCTAATGTGTTTCACCTGAGTTTCCTATTTATTTCAACTTGTCGACAGTGATTTGATCCTATAGTCAAACACCAAGAATTTACAGTGCTGATTTCAGTCAATGTTGTGGAGGAGTGCCCTGAAAATTCTACCCTCTAATATATAGAATAGTGTCATGATGGGCAGCAAGAAGGAACAGAAAGAAAATATCTCCACTGCGATGTCAAAAATCTATTTTATGTACATATGGAAATGCCTTGTCAAATATTGGCAGAAAATTACTGCTTCTTTTAATGTTAGTAACGAAACATAAGGAACTAAGTTACTAGAAACATCAGTCTTAGAGCCACTGTCTACAAGGAAAAGCCATGTAGTGAAGCAGCTAATTCATTATGCTTCATTGCATAGATACTGACTTTAGGTAAAGACTTTAGCCTGATTTTGAGCTTTAAACTTTTTCAAGTTTTTAATTGAATCAAAGCCAGTTTCAGATATTTCTCATTGATTTTGTAGTGCCAATATGTGTGTTCTGCTGATACAATGTGCTTAGAACCAAAGTTCCAAATATTAACCCATCCCTTTAAAAAATATTTTGACTGCCTGAGCAAAAATATTCAGTGCTTTGGGTTGCTTATTTGTTCTCTCTCAAGTATGACTTTATAGCTGGTGATCAAACAGCAGTGCTGAAAAATAAAGGACATTGTGTGGAAGTGCTGTAATTCCAAAACATTGTGATTTCTATGTGCTTTTTCTTTTGACTGCCACTACAAAATCCCATAGGCAAACATTTGGGAAGCGCTGTAAACATCAACTGACTTCAGCAAAGTCTGTTGAAACATAAAACCCAAGAAGCCCAGAGTTTCCCCATTCTAAGACTTAAAAGTAGGACCCTCAGTATTGAAAGATGATTTGGGCAACTAATATGATATGCCCAAATTAAACTTCACATTTGTAGACTGATAAATGTCCTTCTGCAAAAGGCCTAAGTGATGTTTTTGGAATATAAGTCTTGAGTACCTTTCTGAGCTGAGCCCTGACTCCTTTTTTCACATTACTGGGAAAAGAAGATCTGATGATCTGCAATCCTAGATATGTGTGTGGATTTTATAACTTTTTTGTATTCTGTCATCTAATTAGGGAACATATTTTCAGAAAAGATGCATAGAAAATTGGAGACACATTTCACAGTTGAAAAATAAATGGCCATGGGTTTTGTAAAGAAAGCAGATGAGAATGGAAGAGAACTTTTGGGCTATAGTCAAGAAGAGAAGAGTTGAATGCTTACTAGTGCTTAAACAACTTTTTTTTTTCTTCCATAGAGAAATATGTATATTTCTCTGGTGCTTATTAAATATTAGAAAATTAATTGAGTTGCTGCATTTTGTGAATCCCATTTGTGCAAGTTATAAAATGAAAAAAAATCTAACAAAGCCAGATCACAGTGAGCTAAGAGAAACTGCAAATTGAACATATGTTTTCCAATATAATGTAACAGATGTCTTTTTTGACACTGTATTTAATTGTTAGTAAGTTCCATACAGTTTATGAAAATCTTTACTGCCAAGTATAAAATAAAAATAATAATTAAAATAAAGAGATTGAATAAAGACTGAATAAAAAGATATCTACAAAATGTTTAGTTGTTTAGCTTTGTATAGGAGTACAACTTCAGGAAGTAACTTTGAATTCAATACTAACTTTCTCAGTAAAGCTGACTGGTGTTTTGTCCCTCAAATAAATCTGAACCCTCCTTGTCAATCACTTTTATTTGTTTCAAGATTGTGGTGAGAAACTATGATTTTTTTCTACTGACTTTGGTCATATGCTTTTTTTTCATTAGCAATAGTGTGTGAATGGTGGCAGGATCATGTAACATTTTCTTGTAAAATTTTGTTCCTATGCACTCAGGATGGGCACATGCATATTCTGAGTTTTATACCTTTAGTGAGAATTAGCCAATGATGATATTTCTTCTAATGTAGTGTTTTCCTAATTATTTCTGTAATAATAAAGTTCTGAGACTTTGACTGAACAAAATTAGCCACATAGATCAGTTCAGGAGACATAATTATTGTAACTGTGCAGTAAGTTTTCCTGTTTTAGACTTCTATAAATTCTTGTCATGTTAGCAGACTTCATTGTCTGTGGGTTTCTATGTAAGCCAGCTTAGCTCGTTTGCTGTAAAGACTGATGGAGATCAGCATCTTTAAATGGTGGCTTTTGTTTTCTTTGAGAAGTGGAATTATCCTTTGAATTATCTCAGCTTAGTGAGAAACCTGAAAAAAATGATGCCACCAGTGGGTACTGTGTGATGGAGTATAGAAGAGAGAAGTGCAAGCTAACAATGTGTAGTGCAGCTCTTGGTATGTCTTTTAGGCCAGTTGTAACAACTGTAGAGTTGCTCACAGTTGGGAACAACATTTTGTGGCTATGATCTGCATTTCTGAAGTTCCTTGATTGCCACATAGGTGTTGCTTTCAATTCTGAAGCCTGAACTGGATGCTTTTTCCTGAGAAGTGTCTTGGTTAGACACAATTCATGGGGTGGAGCTTGGGAAACAAGCTACCTTCTTTTTCTGTTTAACCCCTCCCCTGTCACCAACAGAGAGACAAATGCAAGAAGATATAAGTTGAAAAGTAATTTTTCTAAAATAAACCCAGCCATAATCAAGATAACAGTAATAACCACTAGATACAAAGGTTCTAAATCCTATGGACTCCTGCAAGAACAAAGAGAACAAGATGGCAAAGAAGCCCCTCCCCAAGATGGAGACTTTTGTAGAAGACCACATCAGCCAGACGATAAAGATGGTGGAGAAGATCTGTTCTCCCAGACATGTGATACAGAGACAGAGCAAAGGAAAAAAAAACCAAAAAAAATAGCAGTACAACTGAATCTCCATGATTACAAAACTCCCTCTTGCCCCAAACAACAACGAAGGGAGAACAAGGATAAAAGAAAGGAAACCTGGAGAACTTGGAGAGCTATTCTTGTTCAAAACCAGTCAAATTTTACTGAACCATTTGCTCCATACCACCTGACAGGGTTTCTCCTAGTGGTGGCAGCTCTGTCAACAGTGGCAACTGGATCTGGGGCAGCAGATGAGTTACAAAGCTGTAACTCATGGAGGAAGAGGGGAGGATCAATTTTCAAGCATGACTGTCCTGCATGGCAGTAGCAAAAACAAAGCTCCCAAAAAAAGGTCCTATTCCAGCTGCAGGGATAGGAATTGCTTGTGGCAACTGTGATCAAAAAAGTTGTTAGGACATTTCCTCCAAAACAGTCTAGGATTGACAAATGCAGTTTCTCAGAGACCTGCACCAGGCAATTTTCCGCAGAGTTCAGAGAGAAACTAAAGAATGCTTCTGCTTCTCTCTGCCCTGGCCCAGACAGAATGCCCCAGGAAACTCTCTTGGCAGCCCAGAGAGAAACAAGAAAGAGAGCTCTGCCTGTGTTCCCTCACTCTTAAAGGGACCCTGGCACCTCCAGTCTCCACGGACCCAAAACACTGGTTCCTGATCCACTTCTGATCCCTGGGTCTTAATGAGACTAACACAAACTGCATGGACTGACATAGAGGAATAATAGAATACAATTCACATTTTTTGGGTCACCCACCCAAGACTTTAGCCACTCTTTATTCCATATCATCTATATCATGTCCCAATTAATATATTTTAACTATATATATACACATACAAACAACTATATACAAATACAGGTATTGTTTCAGTAGTCACTGATTGTTGCCCCAAGATGTGGATTGAGTTCATTTGGTCCATGACTGATCCAATGGGAGCAGTTCATTCTCGTTGTTCATGTTATTTCCAACACGGAGTGGCATTGCCATTCAGCAACAAATGTTACATATGCAATTCAACATTACAGACTGTTCTCATCCAAAGTCAAATCTCCTCAAGGTACATGACATGTTTCCCTGTCCCTCTGCATTACCCACCATGTGTAACCAGGTCCTCGAGTAAAAACAACCCCATAGCAGGGTTTGCCTTTGCTTGAAGTGGGATTAACCCAAACTGTTTTTCCTGACATAGCTCTCATACGTGTCATGAGACATTATCTCCATCTACTGTGCACAGAAGTAATGATTGGGCCAGTCCAGTTAATTGAACCTCTGGTGTTAACTAACCAGATAGATAGCCTTTGCTATATGCAGATGCCACAGCTTAAAGGTCCCATAAATCATTGCCTTCAGT